AGGACATTATTCGATACTACAATCCATCCGTATTTGCTACAGATTAGGGATTTAGAAAACAACTCATTATATGAATTTAATGTAGAATATGTTAAACAAACATGTGAATTTTCAATTAAAAAATTTGACAAAATTCTGTAAAATATGCCTCCTTCTTCGTAATTTTTCAGATTTTTTGCAAAATTGTTCACGTAATGATATAGGAGAAATCGGTCAAAGATGTGATTTTTTATGTTTGTCCTTTAATCCCGTCTAGATCGAGATACAGAGTTGAAGTTTGACACATATTATAAATTTGACCCCCTTATCTGGCTATACAGAATGTCCCAAAAATGTTGTAACACCTTGAAAGAGGTGGTTCATGAGGTGATTTGAAACAACTTTTTCCTTAGCGAAAATGTTGTCCGAGGCTTCGTTGAGGAGATATTAACGGAAAACACTGACCAATCAGAGCGCGCGGATACCGTTGGAGCGGCCGCGGTAGCGAAGGCTACGAGCTAAGCGGCCGCGTCCAATGCCCTTCGATACGCGTAGAGTCGCTTGTTCGCGTACAAGCGCGGCCGCTTAGTACATAGCGTTCGCTACCGCGGCCGCTCCAACGGTATCCGCGCGCTCTGATTGGTCAGTGTTTTCCGTTAATATCTCCTCAACGAAGCCTCGGACAATATTTTCGCTAAGGAAAAAGTTGTTTCAAATCACCCGCCGAACCACCCCTTTCAAGGTGTTACAACATTTTTGGAACACCCTGTATAGTTTCATGGTGACAAACATTTAGCATTATATTTACGGATATCGATATTGAATTCGTAACTTTATCAGACTTTATGATACTTTAAAAATGAATTCAAAGATAAGAAAGTCAATACTAGTGATTTTCCGTAGAAGCGGGAAACAAATTAACGCGACCAATTACCACGTCTTTGTAGCCGTAAGAATCTGGCATAAAAATCTGCCATAATGTTTTGTTCACGATTGCGCAGAAAATACGTTCGCGGCCGTGCGGGAGTCCACATGAGCCTGTTGCCAGTTATTGATCCTGACACGGTTAAACAACACTGCATTGCCGTTAACTACGAAAACAATTCTAGTCACGGGCGTTTGCAAAAAAACGCGCCGACAAACTGTCACGGTAACGTGTGCGTTTCTATTTCTACAAAGTACTGTGATATCGAAATGTGCTGTGTCTCATCGTTGTTATCTCTGTTCTGTCAAAATGTAGAAGTCCCGTAAGACTGAAATATCAATAAGTGACATTTGTCATTGATACGCTAAGATGTCATCGGTAATTTTGCGCGAAAAAAGGAACACGTAACCAGAGCGTGAAATAATCTTTTGCTATCATAAAAATTTGTATATACGTTTGTCGATCGGATTCTTTTAAAAACTTAGTATCTTGGCTCCGAACTTTAGGAAGACTTGAAATTTGTGTTGCTGCTGCACATGTGATCCTCTAGGTGTTATCTTCGGTTCGTAATGAAGAAGTTTACAATTAAAGGTGTTCTCGACGGGTTCCGATCATCGGTACCTCAGCCCGTCAAACCTGATCAAGAAATCGTCGAAAATTTACGGCCAGAACACTTTCAAGTAAAAAAGGTCAGTAGTGATAAGTTCTTATACACGTGTCTTAAATTACATGTACCACTGTTTAACAATATAAAAAAAAAAGAAACCGTATGTAGACAACAAAGCACATTACGCGAAATACGCGGAATACTTTTGTAAAGTCTATATTTTTAATTTACGAGTAAAACGATTTTTACGATTATTACGAATTCGTTTATTATTAGACTTTTACTATTGTCTTCTTATAAAAATAATATGTCAATACGTCAAGTTGCCAATGTTGTCATTAATGCGTGTTACTATGATGATATCAATGCTTTAGAATCACATACATGCAATCAATATGTTGTAGAAAATAATCACTAGAATTATTTTTTATTTCGAATTTTTTTAGGAAACGGTAAATTTAAATGGAAACGAAGTGATTAATAATAAGTAATGCAAAAAAGGCAATACGTGTAAATATATTCGTTATTAAAAAACACATTATACTATGTCTCACTGTTAAACATAATTTCCATCTGTAATTTGCATTCTTGCATTAATAGTGGTTTTAATTAATTGATTAAAATACTAAAAGGATACCAAATTTACAAATTCAACATTGATTAATTTTTGTATTGTAAATTTGATTAAAATACATAATGTAAATATTGTAAAAATGTAAATTAAATATTTATTAAAGTTATACCATCTATCATTTTATATGATACTACAGAATAGAAGATAAAGATAATTTATGTATTCATAATAAAGATATACTATGGTGATAATCTTGCGTTTCATCAAATTGTCATATGTTCTAATATTTTATAATATAATACGAACTTAATATTTTTAATTTATAATGCACAGATAGTTTTAATATTTTCTTGAATTGTGTTATTGTAACAGTATTTATTTTTGGCTATCGTCAGATGGTTAAACATTTTTAAAATAGCACATATCCAAGCTATATAATTTATTTTTAAATTTAATTTGATTAATAATGTATCAGTAAAAATCTACCTTGTAAAACAGTAATTAGGAAATGTTAAATTCCTCTATATATTTTTGGAGCTGATATCCACAGAACAGCTGTGAAAATATATGATGTCGAGATTGAAATAATATGATACAACGAATATTATATAAAAAAACTACTTATCTCTAAATTTAATAAAAATTTATATTTGAAATTTACTATAGGACACTATTAGTGGATCTTAACAGATAGTTGAAAGTTGTGTTTACAGATGGTTGTGGATTCAATAGCCAACCTATAAAAGGTTTTGGTGGATTTGCAAATATTTATCAAAAAATGACAATACAAAGTGTTGGTCCCATCTATGGAATTATGGACTATGTACATATACATGTTCAGTGATGTTCTATTTTTATTTACAAGTGATCACACGATGCAGATTCGAATGGTGCATGCTAACGATGATACTAAATGATATGGCTTGCAAGTTGAAGCAGGTTTCAAGTAAATAAGATATAAGAACTTTACTGTGGCCCCCTCGATCATCGAATTTCAATCCTATTCAGATGTTCTATATTAAGTTGGATCAATGTGTTGTTATCAGAGAAGGATGGAATAATATTTTAGTCATCATTTAACCAATTTGACAATACATTTTGTACGGAACTTGTTATTTGTTAAAAATTACTTTTCCTAATTTAATTTTATGTTACTTACTTTAATTTAATTTGATTGCAATTGTTATCATAATAAAATTACTATTGTTCACACTATGGAACATGGGTTTATTTTCAATTTTAACATCAAATTTATATTAGATTGTTGAGAAATAAATCAGAATCACAATTCGTGGATTTGGTATTACTTGGTAATTATACACACATGTAATTTATACTCTATACTTAGATACAGATAAGACATAAGATCATTTGTTCCTTCTATTATAAATTCTGGTTAATAATCAATAGTTCTGGACACTGTCTGCATTGATGGCTCAGGAAAGAATGTTTCCTTCATTTAAGAAACTGTTCTAATGTTTAATAAAAAGTTTATTTGATATATAGCTGTAATATAAAAGTTCTGAAGTTGATATCCATAGACTTTCTTAAACTATTTTCTGCATAATGTCTTTATCCATTGTTACTTGCATCCTCGACCTTGTCATGTATGAGAGACACTTATATACTCAAGCTCCTACAAACAATATACTGACACAACAAAGGAATTCTATTCTGTAATTTTTAGTAAACTAGACTTCATTGTATCGAATACTGAATAGGATTGATTAAATACATCCTTTGTGTCTGGTTTTATTCTCAGATAAATTGCATTGCGTTTGTTACGCTTCAAGTACATTTATTCATAAACACGCGCAGCACACAAGCAGAAACCTACACCAGTATTGCCAGCTACATTGGTATTAAACAACTTAATTCAATATTCCAAACTTCCAACTTAAATTCAATATTCAACTACACTTTAATCTAACAAAAATATCAATGTTATCTTCGATTCATTCCTACATGAAAATAATTAAAGGAATGCAATTGTTATGACTGCATTTTTCCCCTCGTGTTTATTTTTTTTTTTTTTTTTTTTTGATGAAGCCGTTACACGTCATACAGGTACTACTCAAGTACTGGAAATGGTACGTATTATAAAATAACGTAACTGTTTGAAACTAGATTCAATTATTTGCTATTAAAATGAACTATTCTCAAAATCTAATCATTACGCGCAAACATATTCACACATGCGCATTCTATGGCCGACGATATACTTGAGAAGCGTGTACATCTAGCGGGGGCTTGGTCAACTAACGGAAAAGGGTACATACAAGATGTCCCAAAAATGTTGTAACACCTTGAAAGGGGTGGTTCGGCGGGTGATTTGAAACAACTTTTTCCTTAGCGAAAATATTGTCCGAGGCTTCGTTGAGAAGATATTAACGGAAAACACTGACCAATCAGAGCGCGCGGATACCGTTGGAGCGGCCGCGGTAGCGAACGCTATGTACTAAGCGGCCGCGCTTGTACGCGAACAAGCGACTCTACGCGTATCGAAGGGCATTGGACGCGGCCGCTTAGCTCGTAGCCTTCGCTACCGCGGCCGCTCCAACGGTATCCGCGCGCTCTGATTGGTCAGTGTTTTCCGTTAATATCTCCTCAACGAAGCCTCGGACAACATTTTCGCTAAGGAAAAAGTTGTTTCAAATCACCTCATGAACCACCTCTTTCAAGGTGTTACAACATTTTTGGGACACCCTGTATATGTTGAGTTGTTACGATATTCTAATGGTAAATGTCAGATTGAAAGTCGTGACTTTGCGTTACATGAAATTAGACCCTTTTTTCAAATGACCAAGCTGGTGTTGCTTTTATCTGAAAATACGAAAACACGAATAATAAAGTTACCGACAAGGTTTCGCCTCTGTGAAACTATATAGTCTGTGTCATTATTGTATGTCTGGTAGTGGGATAAATCCAATGTGGCGACTGAGCAGATTGGATGTTCATGGATATTTCGTTTGACATCACAGAACCAAATAGTTTGAAAGTAATGTGATTGTAAACATAAAAATGGATATATGAAAACGTCAAGATATCAGTGATGGTCAAATAACCAAAGACTTTTTGTAATTATAAGTGGAGAAGGAAGTTAACTGCAATTGAAAATGTTGCAGTACTGTTATTTTTCTTTTTGACACATTATGGACTGTTGGTAAGCAAACAGATAACATGAAATCTTAAAATATTGTTAGGTTAAGAAGTACTCTTCTTTGTTATTAATATTTAATAGTTTTATATTATTAGTCATCACATTTTTAATTTGTTACGTTTAGCATGTGGATTTCTTGGCACATAAGTAGCTGTCTTGATAACCCTTTCATTAAATTATTACGTTTCTTAAGAATATTAGTAGTATGATTAATGTATATTCAGTGAGTAATTTTAACACATTAAGTGCCATGTCAGTCACTGGTGACTGACAATGTACTTACTGGCCAGGCCATGCTAGTCATTGTTGACTAATGATATATAATTTTTTAAATTATATTTTTAGTTAGGAATAAGAATAAAATAAATTTACAGGTTTGTAAGCACCAGCCATTGCAAGTTATGAGACATAGAAAATGTGATTGTTGATAGCCTAGCTAGCTCAATGGTTAGGGCAATCATTTAACAAACAAAAGATCCAAAGGAAACCACAGATTGATTGCATAAAAATAAATAGACATCTTAGTCTTTTTCTGTTTCCATTTTTTACACTTTTCCATTGACAAAATGAAACGAGCACGTATAAAGGCTATGGTTACTGTTCCACCACGGCGAAAAGCAACACAAGATTTGTCAGTTACCGAGACAGCTGGCATAACTGAGTGTGATGAAAAAAAAATTAAATCAGATGATTCTTATTTGGCATTACAAGAGACTCCAGAAAATAATTCCCCAGAGAAGCAAGTATTGGAAGATTGTATGATAATAGAACAGACACAAAATGAACAGCTTTGTGATAACAACCAAAATATTCAATGTAAAGCTGAACCTAAACCACGTTCCATTGAATTAAAAAAAGAAATGGTGCTATTGTCGGAAAACTCAAATACAACAGAAATTGGTAAGTATGATATACTGTGTACTATGAAACAGTAAGTGTTACTCTGTCCCAACTTGTCAAATAATTATTTGACATTTTCAGTTTCTCCTGTAAAATCAGCACAATGTCGATTATCCTACATGAGACCAACACCTAAATTGGACACTGGTGGTAGAGTAAGAAGAAATAGTATACAAGGAAGCGGAGCGAGCGCGAGTGAATCGGAAGATGATAGTAGGAAAGTAATTGCTGCCACGGCCAATCATATGAAAAACGATGTGGTTCACTCAACAGAGTGTGCTAAGGATCCTGTTACCAGTAATACAAAAAATGACACAACAAAGTCAAAAACAGGTCAGAAGAGGCGTATTTTAGTTTCAGAATCTGCAAGAAAATTAGCAGAGGCTAGAAGGGAATTTAATATAAAACATGAAAATAAAACACCAGATAGAACTAAGCTTACTATGTATGATCTAATATATTATAATCCCGTTTCTAATCCTATGAAGAAGTCTAAAGAGTCTGGAGTCATAACAAAAAGAATTTCAGAATGCGAGTAAGTAGTTTTTTAATTAAATAAAAGTATATATGTTCAAATTAAATTATAAAAAAAAACAATACAATGTATTATTACAGATCTGAAGAACTTCAAGAAGAAGAAAATGTAGATGATCCGTCATCCGCTATGCCTGTACCTCAAGTAAAAGTTGGACCAGATGGTCAGTTAATAATAGATGAACAAAGTCTTGTTATAGAACAAACCAATGCAAAGAAAGGCAGGGAAGTATTAGCGAAGGACGCTATTATTGATGATGATAACAATGGAAATGGATTTTATAAAAAGCGTCAGAAAAGTAAGGAATGGTCTAAATGGGAAACTTTAAAATTTTATAAAGCATTAAATACAGTGGGTACGGATTTCCTGCTGATGAAAAGTGTGTTCCCAAATAGAACACGGCAAGAAATTAAACTAAAATTTAAAAAAGAAGAGAAAATAAATAGGAACCTAGTTGAAAAAGCACTTGCTTACCATCAAGAATTTAATATCGAAATGTTGGAAAAATCATTGGGTAAGTTTAAATAATGAACTAAATTTGTAATTTGAGAAAAAGTTTTTTTTATCCTTTACCTTTTAGCAATTACTTCACACAAAATTTATTGGAAGACATTCTGTACAATGAAATTTGTTTGTTTTGATAGCCACGTTTGAAGCTTCAGAAAGGGAACGTTCCCGTGCGCAAGAAAAACAAAAACTACAGGGAGTAAAAGAAAAAGAAAAAGTAAAAACAGAAGGCAAGCGAAAATCTAGTAAGTTAAAAGACTGTTTCTTCTTATTAAAGTTTTATTAAATAAATTATTTCCTAACACAATATTTTTAGGGGTTGTAGCCTCTAGCATTGAAGAGATGGATGTATCAGATGAGGAAGAAAATTATTCAGAGTTGATGACATCAAATGAAAATACAGAAGAAAATAATTACGAGGAACCATTAAATAAAACAAACAAAAAGAGACGTAAAGAAAGAAGAGAAGAAACAAATATGTTAAATCAATCGTTAATTGAAACAGACAACGATAAATCGTTGAGCTTATACAATGGCTTCGATAGTGATACAGAGGTTTATCATGTCAGACCAACTAGATCCGGAAGATTACCAAAAGCAAAAAAATTACAGGGACCAGATATAAACACACTCGACAATGAAATGCTAAATCATAGTTCTACTCATCGTAGAACTGTGACGCCGTCAAGAGATACCGTGAAAATTATAGATAATTCAAACTCTGACGATATTGACATTAATCAAGAAAGTGAAGATACAAATTCTGTTAAAACAATCATACCAAATATCAATCATGTAGAGCCAGGATCCTTAGTTATTTTATCAAAAGAATCACCAGAGGAACCTGGAAAAAGTGTTTTACAAGTTTATATGGTTAGTTCTAACATCAATTCTTCTGAAACTCTTGAAGAACCTAATATTACATCCGTAAATTTACCACCAGAACTTTTGGAAACTGTAACTACTAAATTATCCAATGTTGAATCAATTACTCTAAAACAAGAGTACGAATAATTTACTTGACAATACTTGCATCTTGTATAAGCCTAACTTATCATCTTTAGTTTCAATTAATTTCTCAGTTTTAGCTAAACTTCAAAAAAGATATTTTACATAATCATTTTTTTCTACTTTTTATTCCGTGGAATTAATGAGTTTTATTAATACATTACCACATGACTATTTAATTATTACTTCAGTGTCGGTAATTGAAATGAACACCATCTGATACAATAGCATAATCTTTAGGGTTAATTGTGACAGATAAACCTATACTTTATACTATAGCCGCCCAAATTTTTGTAATATTTTGGAACGTATATCAATATATAATTGTTTGCTCTACATATACTAGTGTGCAGAATATATTTCCCACTACATTCAAGGAATACGATACTCGTACTCTACAGAAAATATTATGTCATTGTTTACCGCGAACTACAAGAAACATCGTTCCCTGCATTTCGAATTTGGTCTGAATGTCATTCGAGTGCTAATAAGAATCACGCAATAGTTGGCACAAATCTGACATTCCCGTTTGCAAGAGACTTAAGTATTAAAAGAGAAGCTATTAAATAAAGTTATTATAAAATATTTTGAACTAAGAATTTATTCTATCGTGTATACATAACTTTTTAATAACCATGATCTTACGTTTTTACGAAAGTAGTTAGAGTATAGAGGGTGAAAAAAATAAAATTTTCTTCTATTTTGTATAAATTATTTTATTTATTATTGAATCCATTATCAAATTAAATATTGTTGTATACAATTGGGAAAAGTGTAACGCGATAAAAATAGGTGTATCCGAATCATTGGTCGGTTTAATGTTAAACATCTCGTATGTACTAGAGTATTAGAATTATTAGAGTATTATTAACACGAATCCAATTACGATATCAAAAATATCGGTATAATATTGTTTATTACTTTTGTTACAATATAAGATAGATTAATGAAATATCGAACAGGCATAAGAATTAATAACATAATTCTAATGTGTCACATGGAATCCATTTCGAACTTTCCAATGCATCCCACAAATTATAATCTTGTTCTATTATTTCCCTATTAAGTTTATCGATGTCTGTAGGAATTGAATGTTCTGCAAGAACGGAAAAAAGTTATAATTGTATATCATTGAATTTATGTTTCATAATATTTGTATAAAAAATTCTCGGTTATGGGTCTTCGAGTCACGTGAATTCTTTAATAACTTTAGAGATAATGTTGTGAAATACATGTGTTAAACATGTATTATTTTATATATAACATATATACAAGACGTTTTCTTACCAATCAATTCCAATTCATCTTCTTCTGGTTTTTGATCCGATACATAACTATTATATCCATCCAATGTCGGTTCGCTTTCATAATAACCCTGTTGCCATGCACTATAACTATTCCAATATGATGATGTATCATAGTAGTTATAAGAATCTGAATTCATGTTTGATGCTGTATATTCAGATGATGATTGAGGCGGAGTAGATCTAAAAAGAAAACAAACATAGATATCAAAGGAAAATGATTTGTACTGTACGAAACAAATGTTTTAGACATTTTGCATACCCTGATATTTTATTCCAAGGTCTAGGAACAGCATTGCAAATTTTTAACGATTTTGTTCCAAGCCCTCTATATCCATTCATGGTGACTAGACTATTTTTCTGTTCTTCCTCATTGGCAAATCTAACAAAACCATATCCTTTACTAAAACCAGAACTGTCTAAAATTACTTTGGCAGTTCTAATTGAATTATATTTAGCAGCAAATGCTCTATACAAGGAATAGTCATCTACATCCGTTGATAAATCTCCAACCCAAATACTGAACTCTCTTTCTGCTGCTGGTTTTCCTGTTGTACTTGCGTGATTTAATCGAAATCTTACAGCCTGAAATACAAAACAAAGATGAGTTGAAAAAGTTAGATGGATTATTGCATTTACCATTTAATTCTGTAATTATCTACATAATTATAAACAAAGATATAGTAATAGTATATTTTTCTAAATAAATGACTTCTCATGCTCTCACCGGGTTAGAACCAGGAATTACTTTGCCATTTAGTTTGTGCATTGCGTCAAGTGCCATTTCATCGGTTGGAAAATGTACAAAACAATAACCTGCTGGTTCACCAGTATAGCGATTCCTCATTACTTTAACAGTTTGTGGCTGTTCTCCCATTTTATGAAAAGCATTCATTATAAAACTCTCTGTCATATATGGTTCTAACTAAAATAAATCATATACATAATTTAGCAAAAATAATAAGTATGCAATATACAACAAACAAATTTCTGTAATGATATTTAGAAAAATATTTTTACGATAAGATATTTATATTAACTCTTTGCACTACATGCTCATTCACAGATTACAATTCACTTGAAGAACCTATATCTTAAGAACTAATGGTAAACTGAATATAATTTTGTTGTAGTGCAAAGTGTTAAGTACACTTATGTTTTGTAAATAGATCATATTTACTTACTCCTCCCATCCATAATTGACATAATACCATCGGTCCTGACATTCTTATCTTTGATTATATGAAATTCCAAAGACTCTTATAATTCTGTCGTAAAACAAAATGTTATTGAGCATAATTTTAAATATTTAAATCATATTTTAATTCAATTTGTTGTTTTACATATAGGATCAGTACCTCATACATACTTGATATAACGTTACAGTCACCTAAGGAAAAAAAATTTATCCAGATAACGTTTGAAATACGTATGTTAAAATTGCAATAAGAACGCGATTCTAACATAAAATATGATCAGTGCTGTACAAATTGTAATAAAACTTAAATTTTTTTTATATAGCAATTGATATTTGCATTGCAACTGTTCTAAGCACGAGAATTATAAATCTTCAAAATTACAACTTCTTACACCGTCGGAGGTGAATAGGTTAGGTAGACAAACACAATGCCTTGTAGCAAACACAGGCGGGATCCATATCTGATCGGTACTTTGTAACAAACAACTCTTTTATTAAACAATGGCAAACAGGACAGCTCGTCTACCAACTTTCGACGAATGTAGAAATCTTTTTGAATATAAATTGACTGAAATCAATTTTGTTTAGGAAAGCGTTATTATTTATTTGTAAATAATATCTAATTTAGCCACCAACGGAGAGTAGGTGAACTACTAGTTTTCATTAGAATTAGATAGTTTCACCAGTTCTTCAAGAACAATAATGAGAAAAACACATAATGATTATGGATTTCCTAATCAAGGGAAGTAAACCCTATACAGTCTGGTAAGTATCTAATTCCCGCCGAGAATTTTACTCCTGGTATCAGGATCACATGATAAGCGAAGAGGTAGCACGAACCACATTCTGGTAAGTTTATTTGTTTTATTAGAGTAACTATATAATAGAGTTATTTCACTATATTATGGTAAGTATCTAAATCCTGCTGAAATTTTACATTTTGGTATCAGAATCACATGATACCAAAGATTCTTCGTGCCACCTCTTCTCACATAATGTGTTCCTGATACCAAAATTCAAAATCGGCCAGAATTTCGACACGTATCGAAAAATGTCCCCCTTGAATTAGGCAACCTGTACTTACAGATCTGTTGGGCCGGTTGCCTAGTTCAAGGGGCACATTTTTTGTACGTATCGGAATTCTGGCTGAATTTTACATTTCGTTATCTGGAGAAATTAATAATTATCTATTTCAATAAGAGGTTTATTTAAAAACATGTTTGTATACTAGTCCATCATTTATAGGAATGTAAATAAATGACTTTGAATAAACATTTATTTAATAATTTTATTTCAGTTTACAAGATGTGTGTACAGATATAGAAAGATATATAAACAAATACAGATTTATATGGATGATAGTTCATGATAGTCCTCAGTGAGGTTCACTCACCACTGGACCAGTGGCACTGGTGAATTCTAGTGGTTTCTAGTAACATGGATCATAATCGTTGATCAGGTATCCATGGTTGTCCATTGAATGTTCCGTTGGGAATGTTAACGTAAATAATATATTGACAAAAAGTTTATTATAAATTTTGTAAAATATTGTATAGAATATAGCATTACAAATGCATTCTTTAAAGAGATTGTCTGGAACAATCAATCAATACTATAAATGTTATTTAAAAAGATGCTTAACCTCTAAATCGGCTCAAAATAGAGAAGTTGAGGTTGAAAAAGGTAAACAATTATGTTCCAATTAATACTTAGTTTAAATACAACTGAAGTTAGTGTATTGGTTATAAAAATAAAAATAAAATGTTTTTGTGTATATATCTAGTTGTAATTATAAATTATTACAGAGAAAAATATTGTGGTCGATTATTTCGAAAGTGTCACTACAATTGGGATAAACTGTCCTCAAAAAAAGAATTGTTTGGATTTAACAACTGTACAAGAATTGACAGATGAACTAGAAAAATTTGAAAATGATGAAAAATCTGTAGTTGGTGTACTTCACGGTATTGGAGGCAACTTTTGTAGCGGCTATGATCTTAAAGAAATTGCACGATACAATGGAAAGAACGAAGAAATTTTACCACAGTTTGGCCCATTGGTAAGATAAATGAACTTCTGACAATTTGCAGAAAATCATTTATATTATTCACTTATTCGTTTGATTATAGGCTGACAGAATTGAATTAATTAAGAAACCTTTAATTGCTGCTATAAGTGGATACGCTCTAGGTGTAGGATTTGAACTTGCCCTAATGTGCGATATAAGAATAATGGAAGAAAGCGCGATATGTGGATTTTTGAATAGACGTTTTGGCATTCCTATACTTTGCGGTGGCACTGTTCGTTTACCTGCTTTAATTGGATATGGCAGAGCAATGGAACTTATTCTAACAGGTCGTCTTATTTATGCAAAAGAAGCACTACAGTGGGGTTTAATTAATCATTGCTCAGACATTGGCACAGGTAGAGTTTTGCTCTTAACAGAAGACAATAAAACAATATAAAATATATAAATTCTAATACAAGCAAATTTTTCTATTTGTAGCTCTAGGCAATGCAGTAAATTTTGCAAGATCAATTACAAAATTTCCACAAAGTGCTTTGCTCGCAGATCGTACTTCTGCCCATTTTGCTACATTCTCTGCTAAACAATTAGAAGAAGCTTTACAATTTGAGAAAGTTAATGCATCTCATTTAGTATTCGAAGAGGGTGTTAAAGGAGCAAATCGATTCGTCACGGAAAAAATAGGAAGGCATGGAAAGTGTCACAATATTTCTCAGATAGACGTTAGTTTTAAAGATCTTGATAAAGATCTACTCTAAATATTTTGTAAGAATGCATGTATACTTAATGCACTATACTTAAGACGACTGACCTTCTCAGAAGAGACAAATACACACAAAAATGTACATAGAAATTTGTATAAAGAAGTTTGAAATACAATTATTATCAATACATTATCAGTTATTTATCAATTTCCCATAACCATTATTGTAACAATCTATTTGTATTATGGTTTTATTTTCAATGTGGATTTCACAGATGAACCTTTTCTATGCGACGTATGATTCTTTAATAGTATGTCGGTGCATCTTTTCGCCGTTTTTCCAGTAAGGAGTGGTGTGAAATTTATCATTTGGCCATTTGAGTCCCCTGAGTAATCAATATTTAAAATAAACGGAATTCTACATAATGTAGAATGTACTTACGTTGATGTATGACTATTAAATATGTTAAATCGGCATCAAAGATGTCGAGACCAGATGTGCGAGGCTCGAAGAAGGAAACTTTTCTTAATTGACAACTAATCTCGTCACATAAATCGAATTCGGCTGAAAATATCTACTTCTTTACATTTTAGAAATAATCGAAAATTCGGTTTTTGCTTACTGGTATTTTCCAAGTTTACTGCATTTCGAATGTAATTCAGTATCAATTTGAGAGGGCAATCGATATTTGTCAACAATTCTTTCTCTGTCCCTTCGTGCTGCATATTTGAATGCGCCTTATCGCTATCAACTAAGCCTGGAAATCAGACGTTACTATCTTCATCGAGAAGGTCGCATAGCGAAAATATCCTTACCAGTGTATTTAATTCGTATAATTGACGTCATACTTCGATCAACAACGAGTATGGGAATAGACGCATGAAATAACGTAACAAGGTTAAGGCAATCGAGACTGATTCGATATTTCAAATTTATATCCATGCCTTCCTAGTTTTTCCGCGACGAATCGATTTGCTACTTTAACACCCTCTTCGAATACTAGATGAGATGCGTTATCTTTCAGATTTAGTTTATCAAAATAAATCTATTTTAATATTTCTTTATATTATCGTATACCGTGTGCATTTTGTACTTTCTCGCGCATACAAATTCCTTATAAATGCATAAATTCAATATTTCTTTATATTATCGTATACCGTGTGCATTTTGTACTTTCTCGCACATTCAAATTTCTTATAAATGCATAAAAGCCTGCAGTGTACTTATAACGTATAACGAATAATACATAAACAACATCAGTCTCCAGGTATGAGGATCAGTTAATAAAAGGAGCAAGGTATCTAATATTCTTAAACGTGTTAATTCGAAATTTCTTAAAAATTAGGTGACGTTCCTTGGAGTTCATCTTTGTAGTCGATGCGCCAGGGGAGTGTGCCAGGTCCTAATCAAATTTCCTCAGGATGGTCACCGGCGGTCGATGCATTCATTGTACTGGAATTCGGCATAATCGTGGAATTTCATATTCAAGTTGAACAACAACGACCGTCCGCAGGCTTAATTGGCGAAAGTAATGCGAGCCGGCCAACCACCGTCGAGCCAGTTGAAGCTGTGTGACGAAACGAGTGCAGGTGGCAGCGCATTGTTGCGCAATCCTTCGTACCCCTCTCCTCGTCTCCTTGTAACCAGGAGTCAGGACGAGAGTCCCCTTCGTAATCAGAAGGCTCTCCCCACCAAGTGTGCCTTCCTCCCTGCTCGACCTGGTGAATGTTTGCGCCCGCAAATCCGCGCGATCACCGTCGACGGTTGTTCTTTCTTTCGTTTCTTTCTTCTATCCCACCTTTCCCTCCAAGGACTCTCCTTTTTGTTGCACCTTCGGCAGGCCGACCTGCTAGCTTTCGAAGGAGGAAGGTTTCTAGATCTTCCCCGCGACGCAGGCTCCTGAAACGAGATTCGATGGCACAGTTTAGTCGGAGCTGGGCTTTCGATAATAAATAGATAAGTACTGGAAGCATGGAATCCTTACGAGTATGACCGTGGATCTTTATGCCAAATAAAATCTTTGCGAAGGTACCTACAGATATTTAATCTAAATAGGAATTTATTTTGCTCTGTAAATATTGTATTACGTGAGCTTTACTTTCGATACCTTCTTTGTATTGTTGCATACTGCGTGTGTTTTGTAGTTTCTTGAATATTCAAATTTTCTATAAGCGCATAAATATCTGCAGTGTACCTACGAATTAAGGTAGGTAGGATTGGGATCGTCATTGGTTACGAACGATTGAGATGTTGTTAAAAGTAGTTGAGGTATCCTATGTATCCTACAACGAAGCTATGCAGTCAACAAGAATCGGACAAGGCAAACTAGGAAAAGTCATAATTCCAGATGTCGGAGTAGTCATCAAAGACGTCGAATCTTTAAAGTCTGCAGCACTAAGAAAAATGTCTGCCGATATAAATATAATTACTACCAAGAGAGCTAATTACAGCTTCTCCGTTTACTCGAGAGTTAACATTAAGCGAAAAAAGATGAACAAATATGTTTCGAACGTAAACGATCGAGCGACATCAGGAGGATGAACGATAGGAAAGATAAAAGGGCGGTTCCCAGGATATTCTTTCTGATCAGCGTCTACGTGGCATTTGAGAGGAAGATGCCAGCGCCTTTCACGAATCACCACGCGATCCTATAATACGTTATTGTTACAAGCGAACCGGTGAAAGAAAAATTCTTTCCGATGGGAGAGGCGAATCGACGCGCTCCTCGTTCTCGCGAGAAGGCAAAAGCGTCGTTCGTGTTACAAAAGTATTACCAACGTCTCTCATTCTCTTTATTCTTTTTTCTATCTATTTATATAAACACTTACACGCAAAACAGCCGAATGCAAGCCACTAAACCTTTTTACTGTATCTACCACAGAAGTTTCGTGTTTCCCCTCTCGCGACTTTCATTGACTGGCTTCAAAGTACCCTCAGAACTCCCTTGAAAGTTTCCAATATCGTCCTAGCTAACACAATCTTAGATCATTAATTGGAACAATACGAGTACAGCACGTAGAATTTCGTTACCTGACACAAACTTTACCTAACAAAACACTGAAACTTTTGGAACAACTCCGCTAAAACTTTTTGCTGTATCTAACAAAGAAGTTACATGTTTCCTCCCTCGTGACTCTCATTGACCACCTCAGCTCCAAAGTACCATAGGAATTCCCTTGGAGGTTTCCAATATCGTCTCAAGTAATAGAATGTTAGACGTATCATTAATAAACAATACGAACGCGTGGAATTTCGTATCAAGGGACGTTTCGTTCGCGTACCAGCGGCTGTTTGTTGAAATTACGAACCTGGTGCCAGTCGTTCGGGGCCACTTTCCTCTTCGTCCGCGTCATTAGGCGCAGCGACAAGACCGGGAAAACGGATTCAGCCTATGCAGTTTTCATACGCCGTGCTCAGAGCTGGTCGTTTCGGGTCCTTTATACGGTGCATCGTTTGCCTGTCCATTCTGTAGCCCGCGCTGATCGTATCTGGCTGCCACTTAACCATTACGTTTTACGAGGCGGATGGACGTAAACTGCACTCCCTCTCAGAGTCCAGCAACAGGTTACGTCGTCTTGCGAGCCACGACGAAGGGGAATATTTTCCTCAAAGCGTGCGTGGAACGCGCAAACAGGATCGGCGTATCCTGGTGCGCCCGTGAAATTTACCGCAGCCGTTACAACGCTCCAACGTCCTCCGCGGATCGACGAGTCGCCTCCGGGACGCTGTACACCGAGTTTATGTCGTTTTCTCGTCGTCTGCCCGATAATCGTTGCTCGGTGGAGCCCTGCGTCTATTCGAAACAGAATAAATACCGATGGTAACGCTCGTATGTACAGGGTGGATCGAAAAACATGGGTAAACGTACTCTTCGTGGAGGATTGGATCGTTCTTTTGGGAGAAGGGTTTCCTTCGCTGTGGTGGGTTCTAAAATTTATTTGGACAAGTAAATAGAAGAGGTAAATAGGCTAGGTGAATTAACTCTTTGCACTCGAGGCCTTTTTTTCTGGTAGCTGCCAGCAACTCGAGATGTTTCGTAGCATTCTATCGCCATGAATTCCAAGCTATCTAGATTTGAGAATAAGGTCATTTTATTGACACTTCGAGCTCCAAAGAAATGAATCCTACATTTGCTGCGTGAAACCTGATGGTGACCGAGAGTCACCTCTCGAGTGCAAAGGGTTAACTTCATCGTCATCGCAGACATCGTCAAATGACACACGGTGATATTCACGTTTCATCTACGCTTTGTTCACGCCAAAATGATTCCGAGATTCGCTCTTTGTATTTGAAAAGAATCTGTTCGTCAACTGTAGCCAACAGACTCACCTTAGCGTGCATAACTAGGTGCTCGATACGTTCGCATAAACAGTGCGCGCGGCTTGCATTCTATACCGGAAAAGCGAGGTCCTTGAACTCGATTCCTCGCCACATCTCTGGCTACCTAGCCGCGGAGTCGTCCTTTATCCGCTGGTACGGTCGTATGCTAAACGCATCTTTCACGCATGGCTCGCGTACACACACGTACCAGGGCGATAATATAAACAGGGCGTGGCACCGGGATGGACAGATTTTCCTCGAAACTTCGCCGACGCGAAGAAGGATTTGCATGAAATTGAAGCTCTATGGTGCTTGTAGAATGTAAACGACGGGGTTTCGTTCAGTTTTTGATGGGGTCTTCTGATTCGTTTATTGGAAGGTGAGGATTTCATTTCAATTATTATTTATTATTATTCATTGACGGGACATGTGCTTTAAGAGAGAACGAGTTTAACACTTTACAGTCGATAAAAATTAAGCACACGGTATGCGCACCATAAGGCATTGCTACGTATTATATATTGCTATGTATATGCGTTGCTATATTTGCTATACATTGCATACAGTGGATGTAACTGCGTGCTTGCTTTTTGTCGAGTGTAAAAATGTTGAACTTGTTCCTAATTGAAACTGTAAAAGTGGATGTACAAATCAATTCAGCAATTAGAATTTGTTTTCGTTGCGATACTGAACGCGTACCTCTGCGGAATTACCATCGATCCCGGTATCGTCCTATCGAATTAACTTTGAAAGCGATATTGCCACGACGAAACGACACACCGACAGAATTTAACGCATTAAATCGAGTATGAACTGTTCCTGCCCAGCGAAATCCTCATTAACCGAATTAATCGCGGTACGTGCAGTTCGATCAAATGTTTCGTCTATTATTGTTAATGGATGCTTCGCGTGATTGCATTCCGATACGGGCTTCGCATTATGGATGGAGAATTAGCCTCCGAAACGAACGTAAGGGACGTTATCTGTTAAAGAGAATATCGATGATAATATGAATTTGAATTTAAGTGATTCGAAGTAAAATTTAAGCGGCTGTCTAAATGCTGGACTCGAAATTTAAGAAATTATCTTTATTTTGGGAATGTCAAATACTGGTCAAACCGTTTTTTTTTTTTTTTTTTTTAAATAAAATGGTTTACGGTGAGTGGTAATTGGTAATTGCAATTTTATTTCCGATCCCTCATTTCTTACTTTTTATCGAAATAAACATTTGACCAACTCTCGAACTTTCACGATCGTTAGAAAATTAAATTGCACGTGTGTGACCGCTCGAATCGACTCGACGGTCCTCACCTACGCGTTTGTCCAGAGCATGCAGAAAGGTGGTACACGTGGGTGTGTTGGGTTGGCCAAAGGCCAACGATAACGACAGCGAAAAGTTCTAGTATCGCGGATCCGCATCGTGAAATACATGTGTGCATTTGCATCGATAAAAGGTGATCGACGACAGTATCTCCGATCGGTTGTTTATCAGAGTTCAACGATCAATTACTTGTTCGCGTCGCGTGCGCAGGAAATAAATAGAGCGAAATTCTCATCTAGGTAGAAGCCCCGAATTACGAATAAACGATAAGGAGAACTCTTAGTCGTTCCTGTTTGGATGAGAATTAAAATTTGAAGTATAGGTAATATATATGCAAGAAATTACAACGTGACCGACCGTGCGTGATTTACATGAATTTGATGAATCAACTAACTAACTAAAAAACTAACCAATTACCTTGGAACCACGCAATTTATTGCAACAACGCGTGATTCGCATAAACCTTCAGGGAACTTGAGGAAATTTTTGAAAACTCTGCAACCCCTCGAATTTATCTTATACAATCATCAAAAAAATTTGCTGGATATAAAAGCGCAACGGGGGTTAATTATAATTGAAGGTGCAGAGTATCTTCTTCACTTCTACCGAATTTGGACATTCGTTTAGGTATCATAGAGAGAAGAGCAAAGTTCATCGACATTCTCGCCGGGAGAGGCCTACTTATCCTCCGACTCTTTCGCCTCGGCGTTTTCACTTTTGGCCTGCGCTCTTCGTCATCTTCGAGTTCGCTCCGAACCTTTTCCGCGTTTAGTTGCTCAATCCTCCCCGGCCGTTAACGAGCTGGCAAAAAGCAACGAACGATATCGCAAGAATAACGGGTAATTGCCGCGTTCGCGCGGTACAGAGGAACGCCGGAATGTTGCTCGGCACCGGCGCGAGTAATTGAAGTACTACCTTAAAAACGCGATCTCTAAAAAAAAACTGCCCATCATCGCGTTGATAAATGCTCGTTAAATAAATAAATACATGGTAACTGCACTCGTCGAGGTTGAAGAGATGAAAATTGTCGAGTTAACATACTCTTGGCCTTAGAGTGTCTTTTGCTTTTAATACGAGAAATTAAGCGAATAAATACATGAAGATTGAGAGAGAAAATAAAGGGTAAGAAATTGTACAGGGCTACCAGATCTCTTTCTTGTGTGTTTCCTTCGTTTTCCGTATGGTGATCGAAATCGTTAGATTGGTAAATGAATGGAAATTAGGGGTGAAAGTAGACACTCGGAAATTGTTCAGGGAATTGTTGACACTTTCATGCTTATTTTTCGTTGGCTTTGATTAGGGTGCACGAAGTCGCTAATTAACAAGCTATCTACTTAACCAACCAGTAAAGTAAACAACCGAAGAAGTAGGTAAGTACTAAACCAGGTAAGTAGCTACATAGCTAAATAACAAAACAACGAATCAACTAACTATCTAGCCAACTAAACAACCAAACAACTAGCTATCTACCTAACCAACTAACCGAAGAAGTGACCAATCAACTGGCAACTACTACCCACTTATCTAACTAAAGACCTGCTCGTATAACCAACTAGCGAGGTAACCGATCAACTCATAAACCAACCAGCTGACTAATTAAAGAACCACTTATCCAACTGAGTACCCGAGTAATTAAATAAATAAAGATGGACAGGTTCCCTCGTAAATAAAGGGATCGATTGAGCCGTGAATCGTTCCTCCCTGGCAACGATCGAGCTCGTTCGATACAGGATTTACAGGTTTCCTAAAAGGAAGACGCCTCGGTTCAACGTACCGATTATCGCGATCGTTCTGCCCGACTCGGCCCGTAGAAATTATTCAGGTGTCGGTAGTAGCGGTTTATCTCCGATCGACGAGCCGCCGCGCTTAAAATCGATTAATCTTTCAGGCGCGAGCCGTGGGTAAGCCACGATAACCGCCTCGCGTGATTTATTGAGAACCCGGATCGCGAAAATATTTAAGCCACCCCGAGTTTTTTTCCCGCGGTTTCATCGGAGAAGTAACGCGTAGTAACGAATTCCTACTCGGACGTGCAACAGGTCTGTTTACTCGCCTCGAATCGGCTTCAGACATCTCCGACGTTCGCGTGACTAGAGGGTGGATGACAGAACGGAAATTAATAAGCAGCTAGCGAGATGAACAACGTCTCAGTTCCAAGCATCTATATATTGCAAATTAGAAGTCACCTATAATGAACATTTATCATAATAACCACTGAATTATTGTGTATAAAAGTACAATATTAGCCCTAGAATGGAAAGGTCACTGTTTACTCTCTTAATGGAAAGATCGAGTAATTTCTACTCCGTTTCAAAATACCCAATCTTTTACCTTTTTTCTTCATTAGTACATAACGTATCAAGGAATAAGCTACCAACATGGTTAAAAATAACAATATTTAAATTACAACATTTTAAATACTAAATCTTTATGAAAAGTCTTTAATAAAGTGTAAAGAAGTAGGAAAAGGTAACGCAAGGAGTAAAATTTACTCGATCTTTCCATTCTAGGGTTAAAGTCTATTGAACGTTGTAATGTATAACGCGTACGAAGAAGTCGCAAATAAATGATTTTTAACGAAACATCGATTGTCCAATAACTCGTTACTCGTTCTTCTCCTCACATAGTCGCTAAAAGGTACAGGATAATGGCGACTGTCTCGAACAGTCCTTTTCCCATCGGCGGGCAAACTACGCGGCAAAACAGATCTTTTCAATTAAACATCCGCAAAGCTGGCAGTTTAATTGAAAATGCGCGTAAACACCTTTCGCTGGATTTCTTTGTCCGTCGCTGGCGTTAAAGGGAATAATTCCTCTCTCCTTTTGGATTACTTTATTTTCCACGCCGCCTCGTCCTCTCAAGGCTGTGAAACTGTTATCGTCGAGCTTCGACGCAATAGCCCTCCAAGGATGTTCCACGGACAGGCGAAATTAATCAAATTTAGTACGTTACAGTTACGTTCATTATGCGAGCGGCGTTTCGCCCGACGGGATTTAAGTTACACTGCATGAGAAAACCTGTTCAGTGGCGCCTCTATTATCCCGACATCGGTTAACGTCTTCGGGGATATCAGCGAATACGCGCGCGTCCACCCTTCGAATCATCTCAAAGATCTTTCTTCTCAAGTATTATTGTTTTGGGAATATTATTTATAATTTATTAAAGGGCGTCCGGATTGAGCGTTTTATTAAAGGGAAGCTCGTTTCTTCGTATTAGTGTTTCCTTGAATGGTACAAAGTTGTTCGACTGTGGTACATGCGTAAATAAAACTGGAAAGACTCGATTTATAATTCAAACTTCTGTTACATTCTGACTTTTGTATCGGAAAATGAAATTGAAATTAAAATGAAAGCGAATTTGAATTCGGAGTCTCTGTTGTAGTCGCAAAGAAACTGAAATTCAAATTTACACGGAATTAAAACGAAATTGAATCGAACCTGAAGTGTCTATCGTAATCGAAAGTGAATCGAGTTTCTCTCGCTGCATCGAACACGTGTAGATCCATATAGATCACTAATGTACGCGATCGATACCGAGTGCTACCAATCAAGTCGAACGCAACAAAAGCGTCTCGTCGATCAAGGTTGTCGCGTTCCGTGAGTGAACGCTTACTCTCGTAAGCGAGTCAAGGTCGACGAAATTGAAATTCGAGAGGATCGATTTCCCGAGCGATCTGACAAACGGGAAAGTGAAGACCGTTATGACTGAATCGCGCAGAAACGGATCCTGCGCTCGGCCGTAATCGTTTTTGCGAGTGCCAGAGAACTGAAACGTTAATTTTTGGCATTCGAGATCATGCGAGTGGGTGCGTGCTCCCATCTAAACGAGCCAGGGTCCTTGGAATTCAAGGATGTCGAAACGGATCTGTACGCAACCGTAGAAACCGGGGAGTTGTGGTCGATCATTGATCCACGTTTTATCAAGACGTTGTATTTGTATGTTGGTGAAATATAAGAATGATTGATAGCGGGTGTGCTGGGATAAATTGTATGTACCAAGGAAGCATTTTATTCGGTTCTTATAAATTTTTCTAAGGGCAATATGAAGCTATTGTCACTACTTTCACGAAGAATAAAGATGTGTAATAATGTTGTACATGTTTAGAATTGATTAAAATGGCTGTTATTACGTACTGGAATTTTTGTATATATTTGTAACGATTTATAGATTATATCGTAGACTGTATTGCTCTGTTTTTATTTACGCATATGCCAGCAAAATCTACGATATCTATTTTATATATACCTCAACGTTAATGGCACGATAAAATGAATTATACTGTATATACGCTGAATGAGATGAACGTCATGAATGAAAAAATATATATTTCATTACCTAGAGCTTCGTTTAAAACTTCTCGATCGACCGTATTCTTTCACGAGAATGATCGCAGCCGGTTCGAAGCGATCCTGCATCTGCCAGACGAGGGTGGAACGATTCAAGGTCGTCGAAATTCAAGATCGAAGAGACCACTTTCCCGAACGATCCGAAACCCGTCAGGATCCAGTGTTGCCGAAATGGATCCGGATTGGACGCCGCGGAGGCGTCGATCGGGATCGATCGAGTTCCGCGAGTGGGCGAGCGCACTCGTAAGCAAGTCAAGGTCGTCGAAATTCAGACCCAAAAAAGATCAAAGGCATCGGCCGTTTCGCTTATCCGAATCGAAGCTTGTTAAACCGGTCCACGACATGGCGCAAGCCGCTGTGACAGAGTCGGGTATTATTAAACGATTCGTTGGTTGAATAATTATTTAAATGAGTAGTTACTCGAGAGTCATTATTTAACTGAATCAAATATAAAAGTAAATTTTCATTTGAATAATTTTTCAAGAGAATTTTTATTTGACTGACTGTTCATATGAATTTTTGCTTGAATAATTATTTAAGAGAATTTTCATTTGAGTGACTGTCTATATCAATTTTTATTTAAATAATTATTTAAAGGAATTTATATTTGACTGTTTATATGAATTTTTATTCGAATAATTATTTCCAGAAATCGTTAGTCGACTAATTGTTTAAACGATTTCTCATTTAAACCATCATTGAACCGAATTTACTTCAATAATTACTCAAGTAGACGATCATTTGAACGTTTGTTCAAATAGAAATTCATGTAAATATTGTCACTGATTCAAATGACGAGCAATCGATCATTTCTTCCCTTCGTCAAAGCCTCGAAACAATATTCAACAACTTTCCGATAAAAAACTCAATAAAAATCCGAACAAGCAATCCCTCCAATTCCAGTTCGCAATCAATGAAGAGAAACGAACAATTTTCACCAACTTCCCATTCGAAACCAAATAAAAATCTATGCAAATAATCTTACCGATTCTGGTTGGCGAGCAATGGCGGGAGAGAGGCCCCGAAGGTGGTAATTTCCAGGAATCCCGGATCTCTGTCGCGGCCTCGTCCGCCCTTTTCTCGCGGATGCTTGGCAAGTCGTTTCCAGCTCGTAAACACGCGCGGGACCGCTTCCATCGCCTTCACCTTCGGAGCCTGGTCGAGAAGCAGCGCCGCGGGGACGTGCAGAAAAATATCGCCTGGATCCGGTACCCAGTCGGGCAACTACCTGCCGACTGGTTTGTCGTTGTCTGTCCCGTGTTATTCCTCGTGTCGGATCCGTGCCTAGCTCGCGGTTCGAGTTAACGCTCATTGTCGATCGATTGTGTTTACGCAACGTCTCGGTAAGAACTAGTTTCGCTCGGCGGCGTGTGTTTGTTGTTCAATTTCCCACCAAACTGAAGAGAATCCTCGTCGAATGAGGGATTCCCCATTTCGTTCCGCGACGCGAGAGACGATTGGACGCGGGTGGAGCTTCGATTCCGAATCGGGGAGGCTGGGAGTTGGGTACGCGTTGAAGCTGGGATGCTTTTTGGTTTTTCTAGGGTAGAAATACAATCAAAGGTGTTATATACAGGGTGATAATACGATTATTCCATCTTTTATCTTTGTTCGACCGTTTGGTGAACTGCGTTAGATCTAATGGCTTCAAACTCCAATGTAAGGCGTAATATTACGATAAATAAGCATGTATTGTATGTATAGATCGATAAACTTGTCTGAATAAATGTTATTATATTATGGATAAAAATATATAAGGTTTCATTTCCCTGCATTGGAAAACATGCATCTACGAATCCATAATTTATTTTTATACGATTTGTAACGTATGTCATTGGTACTTGGTATTTGATATTTGAGATATAATATGTAAAAGGCATCAGTGTTTTTCTTGTACCTGTCATACAGTCTACAAATCTATAACATGTACTATATTATAAATATAGAATATTTGTTGTAGCACACTCGTTACTTCGATTATTTTGGTACCATAATGTGCTAACAAATTTAACGTTTCGATTTGTCTTGTTAATTTGTGGCAAAAGCGACGTCATTCGTAAAGGTTTTCCACGCGGATGTCGCGTAATAAAACGTCGCCGATGACATTGTGTTTTGTTCAATCGAAACGCAGTTCAGTTTTACGCGCGATTATAAATAATCGTATTTACGCGCGTTGGAATTCACGGACCCACGAATATGGTCGCCTTGAGCAAGATATCTGAATAACGAGTACACGTATGAATTTGTTATATGAAATGTCCTTGCGTGCATATATGTACATATATGTCCTCGTCGTATACGTTTGCAACAATGAAACGACGGGAAAATATTGTCATATTTATTTGCCACGAAAGTTGTTGAAATATTCTACGCAAAAGGTATCGAAACGAGTTTCTTTCTCGACGCTGCAACTTCTTCTTCACCCACTCTTTTGGGAGAACAGAATTGGTATTCTTTGTAACCAAAACTCGAAGAAAGAAACGAGATCGTATAGTAATAATTATGATAGGAAGCGAAAGAAGATCGTAAACATACATAAAGAACATTGTAAAACAGGAAAGTCCATAAAGAAATACCAGTATGAAACTTAGAGAAAGGAAAGGTGAAGAAAGAAAACAAATTCTAGAGGAACGAGGTTCTTTATCGATGCTAATCGTAATTCGTAATTTCTTTAAATAATTTTGAATAAGATTAGTAGGTTAAGTCCAAACTTATGATTGTATGTATTTTAGATCAGTAAGTAAAAGTTGAAAAACATTTTCAAGAGATCTATCATTTCTTTGGTACCTATATCAAAGTATATAGTTTCTTTAATACCAAAGGTAACAATTATCGTTTTCGTTTTGAATCAGTTACTAAACACTATGATGCACACCCTGCGAGCTACCAAAATTCTTACCAACATATTACAAGAATACAAATAAAAATACACTATATATTTCTTTTTATATTCCCTGAAATTTCTTTCATTTTTCAATATTTTTCTAAAAATTGTTTGTCAAACCAAAGTTCCTGAAACCTGAGGAGAGCTTTTCGTCCACCGACGACAGCTTTCGTGCTCTGCACGATACGTAATTCCTGCAAACGAGACGCGCATCGTCTAATTCGCCCGTGCTTCTTCAATTTATCTCCATTACGCAGCCGATCAATTTAATTCACTGCACTACCTCGTTCATTGACTTCTCAATTCACGGTTGCACTGCTTCGAAGGTTTCGAAGTTGCGAATCGCTACAGCCCGGTGAAACGTAATTCGCAACTCTCGTCGACCAGAGAAGGGTAAAGTTTCATTCGACAAGCAAATCACGAATTAACCCTGGTGTATAACTGTTAGGTGCAGAAATTAATTCTGTGCCTGCATATTCAATCGTTTATAACTTTAGTTTAAGTATGTACTAAATTCTCAACGTGATTTCTATTCTGATGTATCTACGTGTATATAATTCAACAGTCTCCTTAAATGTCCCGATATTCTGTGCCTACGAAGCCTTTGTACAGAATTAATTTCTACACTTTAATTATTTATTGAATATGTACAGAATTTTCGAGTAATTCAGTGTGCGATACTTCAGTCCACGGTTCAAAATTCGAATAATAGTAACGAACAAGTCCATCATATAACAATTTATTCGTAATGTTTAATCGAACAGTAACAGTTTAAGTTGTCCATTAGGAAATATTTCATTCTGTTGTTCAATTGAAATAAGAACCTTGATTTTTTTAAACGAACAAATACATATCTCTTCAAGAACTTCGAGTGTAGTTTTCGATCTTCAGCCAAGAATAATAAATACTAAAAAGAACGAGTTCGATATTTTCTACCGCCCCACCTGTGCGCAACGTTTCACCCAACCCGGAGATTGTCAATTGTGTGTTCCTTGCGAGGAGATTCAGGAACACTATTCTACTGCACCTGTGCACCAAGGTAACCGCGAGTTAACGAAGTTTCTACCGCACACCTAGTCGGATTTAACGAGAATACGGAACGTCTGCGAGCGATTCGATGCAGCTGCGTTACCGTGAGAATAAAAACGACCAGATCACGAAGGGAAAAGACGTCGAAGGTGAAGGAAGCAAAAGTAAAAGCGTCCCGGACGCATCCCGAGTGGAATCGAGATGACAGAGGCAAAGAAAAGAGAGAACGATTCCAATAAAAATGGAAACCTGCTAGACTACTCATGCATGACTACTACTGCATAGACGTATCCGGAAATTCTAACCCGTAAGCTTCTTAATGGCATACGATATCTTCACGCAAGTAAACGTTAAAAATAAACTGCTATCTCTGCTTCTATATGTATTAGTTCTAGATTGTCCCAAAAGCTTCTTTTTTTTTTTTATTATTATTGATAAGTAACATAATATTTGATGTTTTATGCAATGAATTTTGCTATTGCTGTTATAAAATCAACTTTCAAGAGATAAGTTTGTCTATTTACATAAACACTGCTAAGACAACCTAAGAAAATTGTACACTTGGGTCCACGAAAATTCTTGTGAGAAACACTAGTAGCTGAACACCCTGCCGCGCATCTTCCTTGCGCACAAACGGGATTCGAGTGGCTTCTTCCTCCACTGGCGGTGCTAATGTGTCCCCAAGAAAGTTTCGCGAAGATATATGCGTGTATATCGATAAAAATAATCAACACCGCAGGTAGAGTTATTGTTCAAAACTTGTCCATTGATAAAGCTTTAATGCGAAAAGAGAAAAGCAAAATGTTGAGCGGAGCCGAGGGAAGGAAGGAGCAGTCCCGACAAAAGTGCGAACCGGCTGGATTGCAGCGACTATGGTGCGTACGCGTTGTTATCTAATGCTTATCGCGACCAGGCCTCGAAGAAGCCACCAAGGACTCGGCATTACTCCTGGCTGCCGGCGCCATTTATTACGATTTATCGGGGACAAACGAGCGGGATATCTCCCTTTTCCTCGTTCGTGGATTCTGGCCTCGCGATGTGGCCAACGTCGTCAAAAAAGATACCTTGTCGCAAAACGAGTAAGCGAATAGTTCGAGAAGCGTCGAAGATTCTTCCTTAGTAGTCGGCACTTTTAACTAATGATTTTTCATAATTAAAACAAAATTCTTGTTTAATTTTTCTAAAATTCAACGACACCTATACACCTACAGGGCGTTTTCTTTAAAGTGGAACTTTATAAATAAATGATAAGTTTACTTTAGAAAGGCACAGAACTCATTTCTACATGTAATAAAGCCTTAAATAGAAGTTTATACACAATAATCAAACGAAATTGAGATAAGGAATTTGGACATCCTCCCAGTTCCGAAACTAAAACAAGGGCATGTAACTACGTATAATTTTCAAACATTAATAATCACTGTTAAGTGTGACAATGTATACCAAGCCCAGGTATGTGCGCTGTATGAATGTGTGTATGTCATTGTGCCCGTACATATGTACCGGCGGGTCACCGCGAATAAGACACGTGCTTTAGTTTCTATCTCGTATGTCGAGCAGTAAACACGATAAATTGAATAAAAGTTACATGTAATTAATAGTAAAATACAATTAATACTAAATAGTTGACTTATTCCTGTTAGTCAGGACGCCCTTATCCAACAATCGCCAAAGAGATTGCAGTGTTTCCCCAAGCGTATAACCGAGTTATTTCTCCTTCGAGTTCGATCGCAGCTGTCGAATACAAAGATTTTTCGAAGTTTCGTTTCGCGACCCTTCCAGTCGAGAACTAGGCGGGCTAACAAGAATATAGTCGACCAGACTAGAATCACCAGGGCGAGGAAACTGGTTCCACGGTTCGTTTAGTGAGCCATACGAAATTCAGCCGCGCGTCCCCGGTTACGTGCCCTCTCTCTTACCGCGTTGGCGATATTCGTTATTTATGCAAATGTATGCGAACGCGTGAAAAGTGAATTTTGCGAGCAGCAATCGCGGCCACCAACGCGTAGAAACACGCATTCCGTGGATCAACCGACCGAGACGACCAGAGCGATTTAGCTCGAGGCACTGTCGCAACATCACCTTCGAAAATTGCGCCCTGTAGCCCTGGCCACCGGAAGTTCTGGCCTAAGCAGCTCTACTCGAGCGAGATCGAGGTTGAATTGAAAGGATCGACGCACAGAAGTCGCAGCTGTGATCTATCGGTCGTTGGTCAGCTGTTGGTCTTAAGTAAAATCAACTTCAAGAAGGGGAGCAGCAGCCAGTAGATGTGCTCTGAAATTAAGACTCATTTTAATGATTAATTTCAAGGAAATGGATGCGAGTTTCGGCTTACCCTTTTACACGATGTCCGTATGCACTTCGAAGACTGCGAAAATATTTGTTTACTTGTGCATATGTGTGGAATAAAAAATGGCCCCGCGATGGGTTGGTTAAAGCGCCATTTTTAGGAAGTACTGTTGATCTCGGGGGTGATCTTAGTTTTCAAGCTAGAGATGTCCAAGTTTTCTTGAAGGTATCTCTTGTAGAAACTTATATCTTCGTATGGAACCTGCAAATAAAGAATATTGGATTAGAAAAGGGCGAATTTTTCGTCGAGGGGCTAAAATAGATTTACTCAAACGAAAATAATAAATAAATAACACGATAAATACCGTAACAAAAACGCGCGAGGAAGCAATTACGATTACTCTCGTGTTCGGTGATAGCCCCTAAAACCTGTCGCTCGCATGCAATTCGAAAACGGCCATTTCGCGTCAGCCGAGTGAGAAACGTTCGTTGAACGGTGACACTGACGCGTCGTGCAATTTAAATTC